GATAATTCCCTATAGCATTTATTTACATTTTGAAGGCTGCTTTTCATGTCAAACGATTTGACAGTTCACAACATTCTAAGACTAACCTTAACTAGATAGTGTGATTTTCTTAGTCACCATGTCACCTCTGGCCTTAATACCTGGTATATTAAAATATTCCTGACATACAGTCTGCCCCTGCATAAAGCTACAGAGAAAAACTCAGTGTGCAAACAATGGCAAAATCCTTATTACTTCAATGGAGTATGATGTAGTATTCAATCAAACTACAGGAATGTCAGAAATACTAAAAAATACCTATGAACATCCTGAAATGCTGGAAATTGAAGAGGAAGGGATGATAATTAAATTTGGTATACTGACACCAATTTGACATTTTAAAATATCTCATCTGGGTCAAACGAAATTAATGTTTAATGTTTGTCAGTTTCACATTCAACTTACTAGTTCTACTTTTAATTAAGTGCATTATGTTCTACAGCGAATGTTTGTTGTTGGTTTTTTTTGGTATTTTGCTTTTTTCTGGTTTTTTTTTTTTTTGAAAGTCTGATAAAGTTAGAGGTGGGCCTTAGAGTGCTTAAGTTAGTTGAGTAAGGTAGAAAGAAAAAACTCAGAGAAAATGGATTAATGGAATGAAATCAATGTTATCCATACGTGGAATTAAATACAATATTACTATTTCTATAAAATTTCTTGGGTCTTTCAAATTGAGTATAAAAAACTCTTTTATTTTTTTACTTTTAACCATTTGTGCTTCCAAAAGCTGCAATTTTAAATATGATGAACAAACAATTCTGAAATAATATTTTGTTTCAATTCCAAAATTTCTCTGATCCTGTTCATTACACATGAACTGCTATCTTCAAGTGGTTGCATAGGGACATTCTACCGGGTTAAAAAAGTTGCAACTTCCAGCCAGTACTGGGTCAGGAATTAGAAAACGGATTGGTAATTTCACAGTCACCAGTTTCCTTTTATTGTTCTTCTTGAACAGAACTTAAATTCCTATCACATATCAAAATTCTACCAGCAGACTGGAGCTCATAGGTCAGTCAGAGCTATCATTCCACTCACTAGATGAAGTGGAAAGCTCAGTTTGCAGCAAAGACACTTCTTAAAATTCATCAATTTATAAAGACACTTAAAGCATTCTACAATAGTTTATAAACTAACATTTTACCACAGTTTACAAACTAACATGTTACCACATTTTATAGACTAAAGTTATTCAAACATAACAAACAAAAGGCACTGAAAAAGCAAAGCCAATAGCAATTCTTTTGCATCCACACATCACTTTTGGGCATATATCATTAAACATCCTGGACATGATTTTCAGTAAGGTGTAATGATTTTCCATTAATAGAAAAATAAGCTTCTTTAGGTAAGGATTTTTCATTATGCTTTCCACCTACTTTGAGAAGTTAAACACTAGCAAATAGTGGAAAAAACTTGGAAGGGGGTAAATATTAGTGCCAATTATATGCTTAGATAAGTAAGAAGTGATTAGGGAATTATACAGTAAAGTCTATATCCAGTAAATTATCTTTTTAATGATCACTCTAACAAGTACTTCAGTGACTGTGATACACTAAGGAATGACCCATACCACTGCATAAGGGAAAGTTGAACATCCCTAATTTCGCAATTTTTGGACATGCCATAAGAAATAAAATTGAAGAAAAAATATTCTTTTAAAAAATCTTCGTTAAAGTTCATTAGTAGCAGCTAAGGAAACACACTAGTCACACACAAAGAAAGAAAAATCCCAAAGCCCTGCCAGTGATCATTCTGAGAACAAGCAGAAATACACGTCCATTTCTTCACAGCAAAAGTTAACAGTGGCATGACATAAGATGAAACATAATAAATCAGGTTGTTTAAAATGTTTTGTAAGGACCTAACAAAAGTAAGTGATGAGGTTATAGAGCATTCAAATGTCAAACCCAGGTTATGATCCTGCAAATGCATCTTTGTAAACTAGCACCTATTGAAAAGCTGTAGCTCCACATAGCTGCAAGTTTCAGATGAAGGACATGGCGGCCTTGCGTAAGTCTTTACAGAGCTTGGCCCTCATTTAATTTAATGAAAGAAATTTCAGAGCATAAGATTAAGGCTAAATGAATACAAGCTTCAATAGTAGAGTGAGAAAAAGAATTTTATAAGTGAAACATGTGCCTCTTCATTCTGTCTACTGAATCGTTTACCAATTTGAAAAAAACCTAACTGTAAAGTGTACAATTCCCGATACTGACCGTAAGCAAACAGTTCTGTAATGTGGGAGCAGCTAGGGAAAGCACTGAGAGAAAAAAGAATTAGTCCTGAAGCAGGGAGAAAGAAGAAAGTTCTTCAGAAATATACATGAAATTATGGTTTGAGAACAAACAAGAAGGACTAGAGACTTGAAGATAAGCTTGGAAGTAATTGTATTACTAAAGATTCAAAATATTAATTAAAAATTATTTTTAAAATGTGTTTCTATTACTTGAATTTTCAGTTCTTAGCCTTCCTAAAGAAAACAATAGGGAACAGACACAGTTGCAACTCCTAAACAAAAAAGGGTACTTTACATTGCAATTCCCAATCTAAAATTAAATCTGAATTATGCAATTCCACTGCTGAAAAAGTGAAGATTTTGGGGGTTAGCATTTAGAAATTATACTTTCAGAGACACTAGAGTCAAGTCCAAGTTAGAAAATATTCCCAAATCACAGCATCCAGTAATATACAGTGGAAGAAACAGGTCAGGTATTTATACATTTTACTAGTCTCTAAATAGGCTGAAACAAGGTTTTTAATTCCCTAATGACTGACTCTAATTAGGATGAAGAAGAAACGACTTGGAAATACCACAAAACTCCTTATAACTGGTACCTCCTGCCTAGACTCCCCTAAAACCATTACATTCATTTCTGTGATCCTATTTCAAAACCGTCGATTGGAAGTATGAGGAATTCAAAGACAGAAAAAAATCAGTGGTGGCCTGAAAAAAAACTTATGAAGCTTGGGCAAATTAAATATTTATTTTAGAAGGCACAACAAAAAGGGGGGACAGTATATCATTAAGTGCGTACTGCAGAGAATTGCTGTCCCCTCACCTGCCACCCCATAAAAATATTGCTTGCCAAAATGCCCTGTCCTACCTACTGTCAAGAACAGGATCCTAGCCTAAGCAACAATACCTAGCTGGTTTTGTCACTTTCTGAAGGACAACATGTATTACAACACCTTTACTGTTTTCCTATCTTGCTGTAAGATGGACAGAAGCAACATTTTGCCTAGTAATTTTGGGGGACAGAAGTGGGAGAAACGTATTCTTAGTGATTTTTTTTAACCTATCACGACTAGGGCTGCATTCATAGCTCCAGCAACTGTTATCTGAATTAAACAATTTAATGATTGAGATCACTAATTGAGACGGTATGACAATTATCACAGTAATACATAGCATGATTCAGCCAAAAAAAAAAAAAAAAAAAAGTAATTAGACAAGTAATGCTGTAACTGCGTGATGGTAAAAACTACCATTTTACCAAAGATCTATTCTGGCACATACTTCAGCACCAGATGATAAACTGGTGATAAAAATCATCTGATTTTTAAAACAGTTTGAAGGAATCTTGAGCTACAACAGCTAGACACATGCATTGCACAGGGAACAGTGATTTGAAAAGAAATTAATCTACATTCCTCAATACTCTCTTGACCCATCTTCACGGGAAGACTGCAGAAAAAAGGCCTTTTAGGCAAGCAGTGTAAGACTGTCCCTGTCTTCCCCAACAGGATTCATGCTTTAAGAAGTTATATGTACTGGAAAGTGTAGAACTAGAAGGAAGGACTAGAGATTCTTCTCAACAGCCTATTTGAGACTATGCAGTGAACACAGAGCCCCCACTCCCACCTGCTCCCCATGAAAGGCACATTTCTTTCACTTTGTCCTCTCTAACAAATACAGAACATTTATATATGTATACCGAAACAAAACAAAGCAAAACCCACTAAACCACACTTCACTGCATATGGCTCTCCACCTTGGGAGAAAAAAACAACCAACATATAACAGATATGCAGTCATATAGCTTTACACGCTACAGGAAGGAATTCAGATTAGTAGGACAAATGAAGGATAAGCTCCTATACAGAATAAAGTAAATTGCAGGGAGAAAAGGACTAGATTTTAGTGTTTTTTTTTAACCACTACAAACAGGGTTGCGGAGCCACAAAGAATTTTTTGGGAGAGGCATCACTGCAAATTTTATGTACACAAATAATAGATCAAAGTCAACTAATAAGTCCTTAGAAAGAGTAAGCAATCAGTAAAATAACATGCACATCATGTGGACTGGAAATATATTCCCTATTTCACTGGGGAAAACTATTGGGAATAGTTTTAATTTTTAATTAAGAAGAAGTACTATAACCCATTTATTAAATATGTTTTGAATGGCTCCATCGTGAATTAAGGTCAAAATACAATTTCTAAATTCTCATGCTGTGATGTAAGGTTGGCTTTATTGATCTTCAGCATGATTTGTAGGAGCCCCCAGTCATTATTTTGACAGTTTTATCATACAGTAATAGACTTCCTTTTAGATAATTACAGTTACCGCCTTCAATTTCAGTCTTTTGTAAGATTTTTCCTTACATAATCACACTTAGATCATGTTTCTTTCTTTAGTCAAACATATACAGTAAGCTTTGGATAACAGCCCTGATTATTTTAACACAATAATTTTAAGGCTTACCAAAATAAGTTCAAGGGTTAATTATACAAGACAACTTTCATCTTTAAAATCTGTCACAAAATTTGTTTTATAGATAATGAGCATCTACTTCAGGGAAACAAAAAGAAGAATACGCAGTGTTAACAGACCACAAAAGTTACCTAAGGTTGTTAAATTGTACATGTCTTGTGTTTCAATTTATACCTTTTTCTCATCCTACCACCATGTCACTGCTGTCAACAGCCTTAATGTGTCTTCCTAATAACCTCCCCATAGGTTATAGGAGAATGCTCTTCAGCGCCCCATGAAATCATCTCTTCTCCCAGCTGGACAAGCACCAGTTCCTTCAGCCTCTTCTTGGAGGGCAAGTGCTCCAGCCCATTCACCATCCTGGTGACCCCTCAGTGAACTCTCCTCAGTCGATCAGCATCTCCCTTGCACACCTGTGGTTTAATACAGAAGCCCAGAGTTGTGTTGTTGACCTGCAACCATGAAGCAGCGTGACTGAGTAGGGCAGGGATGATATGTCTTCCCCTCCTGCCTGTGGATTCTACATACATTTTTTGCATGTTCTGGCCTACCTAATGTTTAACTATTCATTTTAAAATCAGAAGAGATCTCAGCTGGCAACATTATGCTTTGTTGACGTGCTTATTTTCTTGTGATTTTCAAATAGTGGGGTCCAATCTCCTTAGTCAAAGAAGTGATTAAACTCAGGTATTGCTTGCAGGCTTTATCATCTTTTGGAGAAAGGGACCCCAAAAAGAAAGAAAGAAAAAAGGAGCTTTACTTTAGCTAAAAGGTTGGAACACCTAACCTAAGGAGAGATTTCAGGGTCATGGATCCTACATGTAAAAAAAATAAAATTCCAAAAGAAGCCCTTACTAAATTGTTTTTCATTGGGTTTTAAATGCTATTTCAACTGCTTTTCAGTTTTTTCTTTGATGTTTTTCATTAGCTGCTTAAGACAATTCTGAGGGTGTCAAACATTTGGATCTTCCTTTCAGATGACTCTGCATTTTGTTGTATAGCCAGCTTATCGACTGAGATGTCTCAGTAACAACCTTCAGGTACTGCATTCAGCACGCTTTTTAGCTTTTATGTTTTTTTGCCCAAGCAGAGACATTCATAAGTAGAGCAAAGTTTAGTCATGCAATGCTTTTTTAGGTCCTTCAATGCAAAGGACATGCATGGATGGTGTAGTTGCAGGACAAAGTTGGTGTCAAGATGTTCCAGGGATTCAATGCTTGTGTGTTAGCAGAGTGCTGCATATATGCTAGGGGAATGTTTGAAGAGAAGTTTAAATTGGTTTGGTTTGCTTTTTTCTTAATAGGTTTATCTGCAGTGAAGGGAATTTTCAGAGAAGAAAGCAAGGCCCATTCCCACTGCTATTCGTAAGTTACTCTGAAGTAGCAATATTTACATAGATGCTGGTGACCCTGCTATAGAAAGAATGCATCTCACACTAAAAGATGTTTACCTCCTCTTAAGTTTGAAGACATCCACTTCTATAAATAGAAACAACTTACTGTAGCTGAGGGCCATGATCTAAAATCCGAGATGACACTGGTCAAGTAGCTCACTGATGTGCCATGCCCCACACCAAGCACGCTCCTTGTCTACCTAGGACACAGGCTTTCTCTAATATATTCTAGAAAGAGAAGCTGGAATAGTCCAAAGAAAAGTAACTTTTAGGATCTGAAACCAAACAGCTTTTCTCAGCAATACTGGCTCAAGAAAAATTCCCTCCACCATCAATTTATCAGTGTAGTACTGTGGTTGCATTCATAAAGAAATGGGAAAACTGAGCCTTGCTCTGTGTTACAGAAAAGCTACTGAATTTCCTCTGAAAAAGTGGACAACAGATTTACAAAGGTTAAAAAGAAAAATTGCCCTTCATTTTGTGTTCATCCATTTTTGCCCTTCTAGCTTAAAGAGGAAGCAGGGAATAAGTACATGTGGATTCAGAAGTGTCTAGCACTCATAAATCCATGTCTGTCAAGTGTAAGATTGAATCTCTCTGTCTTTGCTTTGACATGAGCTCTTCTATAGGACCGGGGCCAAGTTAATTAACCTGTTCATGGTTCAACTGTTTCATTTGTAAACTGGAAGTAGCATCTGGACCAAAACTGAAGCATGGCTAGTGAATAAGATAGTATTTCAAGATCAAGAAGGTGGTGTGTAGTGATTAGAAACCTGGTCATGTCAGCATCATTCACTTCAGTTGTGCATGCTGATCAGAGTAAGTGGAAATTAAAACAAATATTTTCCCCACATACTAAAGAAAGACCAAGGATGCCGACTTCACTAAATTTACATCAGTATTCATGTTGAAAGTATACAGTAAAAGTGGTCACATGAAAACCATTCATTTGCACGGTAGCCTCAGCCTCTTGCTTCTGTAGCACTGTGCTTTTCTCATCCAAGAGTTAACTGGATGATAAGAAGCTGCTCAAATATATCCAACACTGGAACTCTAGAACGAATTCGCGGTTTCTTCAGCAATTTTCACCTGTAAGAGAAGTTTGCTTTGAATACCAAGGTAAGAGACCTATTCTGTAACAGCATTCCTACATGACAAGACTATTAATATGACAGATTAAAAAAGCAGCTTGTTAACAGTCAATCTAATGGTGAATTAAAAATAGTTCTCCATTCCCAAAATGAGAACAAGTGAAATACTGACCAGCCGATCAAAAAACCTGGAGTGTCCTCTAATTTCAGGGGCAGAATCCATTCTGGACACACAGAGGAATCTTTTGCTTCTGTTTTGAGAATTTGTTTACATTAATACAATAAATCTGCTTTGAAAGCTGTTCCTATACTACTGGCTTTCCATTCTCACCAAGCCAACTAAAGGAGCATAGATGTTTCCCAGTCAAGAAGAAGATACACAGTAATGAGGTATATATATATATATATAAAAAAATAAATATTTTTTTATTGCAGACAGGGAACCTCTACTTCTGGGAGCACAGCTGAAACATCTGGTATACTTCCTGTTCCTGCCTTTGTAAAAATATGCTGAATTATCAGTATGAATTCAAAGAAGGGAAGATGGAGAAATGGAAAAATTCAGAGTAACTTCAAATGTTTGCTTAGAAATACTATCATTGGTCAGTATTAATGTTAACACTTCCTAAGGACTCTGTGTTTAATATGTGTGCCAATATAAAGAAACTGTAATTTATGCAATTTAATGTTTTTGAGCAGTGAAATCAACTGTCAGTCATTAGAAAGCAAACTTAATGGACCACAGTCAGAAGTCACCCAACAAAATACTAATTGGCTTGAGGAAAATCTCACCCATGTGGAAAAGCACTCTCAAAAAAGTATAACAGAACATTGCCAAGACCTACTGTGCACCTGTAATTTTTACTAGAAGGCATCCTACTGCTATTTAAGTTTTTGTGTATTCAGTAGACATGAAGTGAAGACTGTGTTCTATTCAAGTCTGTTTTTACAATTGGCAATATGTTGCATTTAGCATTTTCACAGCATGAAAGGCTAGTGATTGGCTCTGTTATATGTCTAGATTTCTTAGGCACACAGCAAATTCTCTTAAATGTGCTGCATTTTTACATAAATCCAGGCTACCAGCCTGAAACCAAAACCTTTCTTTTATGAATTCTGCATTAGAATACTCTGATAATTAGTCAACAGTAATACACTTCTGAAAGATGAAGCTTTTTCCTTCGGTATATAAATCAGGTAGCAAACACATTGTAATAGGGAAAAATGTGAAATAAGACTGATTCAAATATGTATTTTACTTCTTGGAGATTGAAGCAATTTGAGATTCTTGTGTAAGGAGCTTCTTCAAGTTGAAAAGAACTTCTAAAAGCTAAGAATGAAAATTTTCTAGCATAGGTGATATGACTTTAATTTTATTTATGCTAAGGATTGTTGACACACAAGGAACTCACATTTAAGTAGTGTTCTCAGAGCAAATAGATTATTTATGTATGCTGTGTAAACACACTAGACAATTTTGAAGTCAGACTTTTGAATAAGCATCTATTATGCATAGTTTCTAAAATTTAATTATTATAGTTACATAGTGCAATTTGTAATGCCACAGAATGCTGGTTTTAGAACCGTGTTCTAATTCTTGATTTCCATCTCTGCCTTTACTTGGCAAGTGGACTGCAGATGCGTTTCAGAAATGAAGAAGTGATGGATACTAGCACTGCTCTGCTCAACTTGATCACATAAACTGTACCTCATTGCTTTTTTTTAAAAAAACCCAACATTCTGTAGAAAGTTGCTGATTCAATACCTAAGAGAAAGTAGAGGAAGGTGGGAGGATATTCTGACCTTATGTACATGTTGCCACTGTGTTAACAATCAATAGCAGGCAGTCATACAGAAGAAGCTTGAGATTGTATTTTACATTATTTTCTAAGTGTAAATAAAAAGAGGGCAGAAAAGGTAAGATTAAAAAAAGTGTAAGTTTTTACACTTTCTTCCTCTTTACAGAGTTGCAATTAAGAATTTCTATTCCTGTTAAACTCTTTTGCCTTCTCCAGATCATTGGTAAAGATGTTAATTTTCCTCCAGTTCACAGATGACACCAAACGGGTGGCAGAGAAAGCAGACAACAGCAACCTAAGCTTTACTGAAGGGAGCAGAGCCAGTAGATTGAAGGAAGTGATTATCCCCTTTACTTAATGTTTATTAGACCGTACCTAGGATGCTGTTTTGCACCCTGGAATTCAACACCTGGAATTCAACACTTGGAATTCAATGTCTTAAAATGCATTCTAAGTATCCAAGTACAGAATTTATTTATTTTAATGACAACATCTATTTTATTTTTCTTTTTCGGATACAGAAAAAACTGTAATATATGATGTTATGTCTATAGGGTTTCATTATGCTTGTATAAGGCACACTCACCACTTGGCCCCACAGTTTTGTTTGGAGTTAATCTTCCATATATTGATAGAATTATCTGAGAGATTTAATAAGGCAATAGGCAGATGAATTATTACAGTGCTCAGTTGAATAATAAGTTTTGAACTTGGTTGAGTCAAAGGATACACAGGGAGAGCACATTTTTCAAATTGCTCAGCATCCCAATAGAACCTGAAGCTTGTCACAGTCTAAAAACTGGTACACAAGGCTCTCCTGCTCAAACCCAAGTAGTAAAACCACTAAAAGGGTATATTTTTTTTGTATCTAGAAACTGTATACTTTTCATTGGCAACATACGCAATGGTGATTACTCCAGCATTAATTGTCTTTGATGTACTTAAAAAAACAGTAAGTGGTATATAAGTCAATTCTAAGCACTATTACTTCATGTAAGAAAAATGCAGGTAACAGTATTTTTGACTGCAACAGCATTATACTGCATAAATAGTAAATTCAGTGTGATAGTACAGTAATCTCTACCCTAAGACCAAAGTTAATGGAAAATTAAACAAAAAGGCTATCAAATCAAGAATTTTGTTTCCTGGAATGGACGAAGACTAAGGCATATAGTGTACAATTTCACACTATACTTAAAACTATTTGGGCAGAATTTAAGTCCGCATTCCATATTTATTTTAAAAGGAGTACTAAAGGTATTATATTGTTAGTTACTCTGACTTTTGTAATGGCAAGCTCCCTTCCTAGCAGTATAGGCCAGTGGTGGAAAAATTCCATCATTAGTATTGGTATCTTTATATAAAAAATTTTTTTTTTCTTTTAACAGATTTTGTTGCCAATCTTGCAAAGTGAAATGGTAACTATCCCTGGTCAGTGATAATTCTGCTCCCATATTCCTTAGCCCACAGATTTACTTCTCTAGTTTCTGATTCTTCAGAAACAATCAAATACTCCTTTCTAAAACCTTTCGCTTATGAAGATACACACACTCTAAACAGCTTTTGCCTGATACAGTAGGCTGTGTTTAAAAGCACAGCCAAAACATACTTCCTTTATATACCAAATTGACTACTGTAAAGTAGTTGTGTGTCTTTTTTAAATACTATTTGTATTACATGAGATCTTTTAACTTTTTGCATTGTGTAATTCTATGGTTTAAAGTCTATACACATGAGAGTCAAAGATAATACAAAAAAAGTAATTTGTATAATACAGCAGTATTCTGTATTTTAGTAAAGATATGTTTTAGTAGAATGGAGTATTACTGGAGCAATAAGCTGTGTGTTTCTCCTTATCTCTCTCACCTATACATTTTTGTAGAAGCAAAACAATTTAGAACCATGAATTGATTAGTGAAAGTAATAGTACAGCTACAGTACTCTCCTCTCCCAGAGGGAAAGCTTTTTTCCATTTTAAAGGGGAAAAATTAAAAATACAAAACCAAGACTGACTGAGACTTGCAGCTCATTAAAGCTGGGGTGATTTCCACTATACAGAATTCTATTGATCTCCATAGTCCACAGTAGACAAAAAAGTGTGGTCAGGGAGGGGATGATGGATGCCTCTGCCAATAGCACTGAACAAACCTGTTAGCTAATTGCTACCAAAGACAATTACCCCCGCATTGTTTCATAATGGAAACACATTACAAAACTCTAATATACACACAGGGAAATTTGATGATTTGACTGCGGAGCCATGTGCATTGAATCTCATTGCCAAAGGCCAGGCAGGTCGCTGCTGTGAGGGGGAAGAAAGTGTCAGAATAGAAGCCAGAGTTTCTCAAAGCTTGTTCCCCAAAATCAGTTTAGCAACTCCACTGTATTGTAACAACCCTGCAATTCCCCTGCCACACCCACAGCACCTGACAACATAAAGCATGTACCTTTTAAGGAAAATTAAAAATTAAAATGTACTCTGAATAGTATACTAGGATAGCATATATTTACTCAGTACAACAAAAAGCCAACGCTAAAACTGATTCTTCACAGTTTTGATCACTGTGAAAGATTTTTCATCATTCCACATTTAGATTACAAGTCATATAACAAATAGTGACAGCCATATAACAAATACTGATTTTGAAGTGTTTTATATTGCAAATTCACCCCCCAAATCAAGTGTTACAAATATACTTTTGAAAAAAAAAAAAAAATTAAAAATCTCAGATCACAACAAAACTGTCACTGAGTTAAGCAGCTATGAAATCTAAAATTGCTCCAAAATAAGGATTTATTTCATTACACCAAATTACAGTGTAATTCAATAACATAGCACTATATAAACGATTTGCCTTCTATTTTGCCAGCAACCACAATCTTGGAATGCCTCTTTCTAAATAGAATTCTAAATGTGCTTGTGCTCCTTCCTGGCATACTCGTATAAGACATTTAATTCTAGCAATGCAGTTGAATGAATTCTGATGTACAGTACACCTCAAAATTATACTCTGCTTGACTGTGCTGTATAAGATGATGCAAAACAAAAAAGAAAAATGTATTTAAGATATGCCATCTTTATAAAGATAAATTAATAGTAAGAAAATTTATGATGAATCTATTAACTTCATAATTCACAAGTCAATGAATTCTGTTTTACTGTGCTTGATACTGCTCTATATTGGCCAGTCTACCTGCTTTAGATTTTGCTGACTACTATTTTGACAAGACCTGGATAGCAGTAGGTCCAAAGCAATCAGAAGGTTGACTTTGACAAATGGTGGTGCTGCGGCGAAGTTGAAAATAACACACATCCACTTTAATCTCTTTCTTGATTAAATCGAAACCATACCATTCTGACATCATGTGATTTGCTCATGAAGCATCACTGCAGGTTACTTTAGAGGCTACATCTATTGAAATGATATTGAATTTTTAGGGGAAGTACTTAATTCATTCAAAT